ACAGCTTACCAGGAATTGTGCACACATGTGCACCTTACAATTACTCCTTTATAAGTGTTATTTTCGATCTCAATTTTGAATTCCCTCCTGTCACCTGCCATTGCTAATTCCATTGTCCCAGAGTTCGGTGACATTACCAACAGTTTGTTCATGTCCTCGACCGAGTGCGAGCAGATTATCGAAGTTTCTAGCACACTGTCAATCGAGTGTAGGTGAAAGGAATCTATCGTGAAATTCAGGTACAGGAGGAACCACCAAAGCGTCGGTTATAACCAAGTGCGACCTTACTGTCCTCAATAGGATGCACGTGAAGTTTTAGCGCAACAGACACAAGAGCACCTGATGTGCAAGCTTCAAGCTCAGATGTTAAAGACTGTAGGCCAATTTATGTGTGCCACAGTCAGGTTGGCCAATTCAGTTGAATATCTGGTGAACTACATGTGTTGTACCGCTAGCTGTACTGTAGAAGCTTACCTACCTGTACAACGACAATTTTCTTGGAGTGAATACGACTCACTTAGCACTTCTTCTCACGGTGCTCTGCAAAAATTATAAATGCATCATCATAAATGCGTTGGTGGCCTAACTGGCGAACTGCAGCACAGCTGCTCACGGCTTCCGTCTTCAGCAATTTTGCATCACGGAGCACCTGGACCGAGTCAACCGACCCTGGAGAGGGTATTGATGTAATCTAAAGATGTTTTCACATGAATCCGATCTTCCAGATCATCTACTTCCCCTTTCCAAGCTGTAGTACTCAGAGTAGGTGAGCCTCTCTAGTGCTGAATCGCCTTCTTCCTCCTCCTACGGCAATTAGTCATCAGAGTTCAAGGCACTTATCCGATCTCAAACAAATCGAATGCAGCGTAGTTTTAGGACCGCATTTGTTTCGTCATTCATTAATGATCTGGTGGGGATTCTCGATTCAAAATGCTTACTTTTTCTGACTACCTCAAGAGTTAGCGCAGAATTCAAGTGATTGCTAATAAGGATTTGTTCCGGTGTGACCTAGAGGAGATGCAACAGTCGGCAACCTGAAGTCCACTGCAGCTCAAGGTGATCAAATGCCAGGTCCTCTCCATACAACACCACAGCCCCTACTCCTACGGCCTCAGAATACACGTGCTGCGTCGATTTCCACTCCAAGGTGATTTAGCAGCACCGATTTCCATTGACTCGGGCGGTTCAAATCAATCCGACGAGGCATCGAAAGCCGGAAATTAGCCTGTGGACTTTAGAGAAGGACGTTCGGACCTACAGACATCTTGATTTGCTGCCAGTGCTACTGCTCATCTTCATAACAAATAGGCAATTCGTGCCAAGCACCTATGGCTAGAACATGATGCCCATGCATTGGAACAACTTCATTGTGGGGTTTTCGTGTACGTCTTTGGAACGCCTAGTCTTCTATAGGAACATTGGCTTACTATAGGCTACTAGTCCAATGGTTGCGGGTTTGAAACCTGCTACCTCCACCTGCTGAGATGAAGTGACATCGAAACGCGTCGTGCCTGTGCAGTGTTTACTGGAGGGCAACACCCAATTTTCACCTGCCTCGACTACGGTCCTAGTGATCGCAGTGACCAAGGTTCATCTCAATATGAATCGTGGTCTACCATAGGATTGCGCTTCTCAATCCAACCACACAACGTGTAGTCCAAAATTGACCCTCCACATAGGCTTAAACACTTTAGAGTATTCAGTGGGTGGTACTGTCAGTTACGACGAAATCTAATAATAGCTTGCTTAATCATACACATTGTCCGAACCACCTGTACCGGTCTTTACTACAGCCCCTTTTCAATACGAATCTGGGTGGGCATATCTTGAAGCTGGAGAAACAATGCAACCAGCTAAAATATTGCTGGAATTTCCTTCCTGTCATTGTATGCCGTCAGTGGAACGCCTCTTTTGAATCGGATGTTTTTGTACTGACACTAACCATATTTGCAATCCTATTGGACGACACGATCAGTCAACCTTGTGACATTTCATAAATTTTCATTACATTGGGGAGAGAATCTTTAGATTTGCTATTCGTCACCTGTTCATATAGTGCAACTGCTAGGAGAGCAGAACTACCATGTCACAAGTAGGCAAAACCATAAACTGCTTTAACGTCTTTGTAATTGCACCAGATCACCCAAAGGGGATTGTAAAGCGATACTTCTTAACCCGTATAAAGTCACCGTTCATTATAGTAGTGTCAGCGTAGTTAGTGATGGGAAGTTCCAGCATCCATCCGTAGTGCACCCATTTGTTCTAATCCTGACCGAGGTGGTTCATCTCTGCTACGGTTGCGTCATACTCGGGCAACGGTGAATTATCGGCTGACTGAATTCAGTGCACATGCGATGTGTCAACTTTGGCCACACACATTGCAGAAATTAGCGAGATGCACGTTCACATCATATAGCACACAACCCACTGCCCGCAGGAGACTACCCCAGTCACTGGTGGAGAAAACGAAGCGCGCAGTATTCCTGGTATGGCGAGGATCAGTGATTTCGTCATAAAACAGAAAGTGGCTGCCGTGCACGTTTTCACTATTCGTGTCTCTCCCCACCTAGACCAGTCAGCAAATAACATTGTCAAACCCCACCAAATACTCGTTCAGTGCATCCATGTCCCCTCCGTGTAAATTGTAGCTACTAACTGGGCGTCACCATGAGACTAGAATGATCATGTGCAGAATTAACGACTTCGGGTGAAATGTATTGTATTGAAGCGCAAAACGTTGATTTGTTCACCCACTTTGCGTTGATTTCATCGTAAACTGATGGTGGTTACTCACAGAGGCTGAAAATTTGGGAGCTGGATAACTAACGTGAAACATTAGTTGTGTCTCCTGCGACTATGGGATATCTTGTGCCTCACACGGGATGAGCAGCAAGAACACAGATGTTCTTGACCAGTTCCAGCACTTTCGTCATTGCGCACACCGACGACCCATACCCAACTGCTAACGGCGATTGCCACTTCACTGTTCCAGATGGTGCCGAAAATTATCGCTGGAAGTTGTGAGGTAACGTACGTTATTTCTCGATAAGCTGCTCCACCTCACATTTGCTGATGGGCAGATATCATTGTCCTGAAAACTGACCTTTATTCTTATCCGCATTCGGATAGGTTAAACGACCTGTGTGTGGTTAAGTGGACACAAACCTCTCAGCTGTAGGATTGGTCAGGGATCAACCAATCCTCGCAAACATGGGGTGCGGGTGATATACATAAATCAACTTCGTCAAATTGTCTACTGGCGTTTAAGTCTATTGGAAGTAGTTTTCTGTGAGTTTCTATAGTGTTTCACACCGTAAGATCATTGCTCAGTGGTTTAATGGTGAATATCTTTTTGTAAAACACGGAAAGAAGATGACGGGTAGATGCATGCATTTCGTATTGTCTCCTCAGTACCATTAACAATAACGGATAGGCATAGATATAGCTAACAGTGGGTGCAACCAGACAAGCTTGAGATGCAGAACGAATGAGGAAATTTCATAACTACGTCCAAGGCAGATTTAGGCAGACAACTAATTGTATCTGAACACACAAGGCTGGCTTCATCCGGCTTATAGTGACAGTCTCAGCAAACCGAAGGAAGTGGGGATTAGTGTGACGTAGCACAATTCAGCTTAAAGTAAAATGCACATAAGATTCCGATGAAATGGATGATGGTTGTTGACACTGTAGTAAATGTGCTGAAAGTGACCACAAAGGAACACTTTGTATACAGGCGTGACACATGGTGCAAATGTTTTTCACACATACAGCATAACATTAAAATCGCTAACCCTCAGCTTATCCAGATATTTTGCCCTTTATATATGGTATCTAACAATCAACAATACTAAAATTGTCCCCCCTGTCACATGCCGCCCGGGGCGGACCGCATTCCTGCTCATCCTATGCTAAGCCTCTGTGGTGTGATTTCCAATTATTGGTAATTTCGGTTGCGTAAGTTGTGTGCACTCGAGTTGGGGACAAACTGCTAGCCCTCAAATCCCCTTCAAATATCGGTTATGTTGCAATTCCCATACCCCATGTTGAAGCAGTGTACACGAAGTGACAGCGAATTGGTGACAACCTAACACCGAGTAGATGGTTCCTACTCAGAGCCAGTTTAGCTGAGTTAGTGGCCCCAGTAACGTTGACACAGGCGTCCTACATCGCATAAGGTCAATCAAACCATAGATGCGTTTGGTTTTACGCGACAAAACAGTTCCTTCGCATTAGAACTGTAGTAGTTTTGCTTTAGAAAAACCTCGACCGCTCAGTACACGCACATACCGAATCGAAGACTTTTTTGGTCATTTTCATGAAAACGACAACGAAGTAGCTGGCGTCACCCAGCGAAACTTCAATACTGAACCAAAGTGGTACTACTGTTCGGTCTTCAACACTCTTGGGGTGGTGCACTGCAAACGACCAAATTTTTAAAACTTCGGTTTGATAACCAGTGCTATTTGCTGGCATTATCGATGTTTTCAGATAGCAGGCGAGTCGCAAATTAAATATATGCTCCTGCTTCGTCCATTAGGCTTTGCATTCGTTTACCGGGGCAAGTATTGTGATGTCTGACATTGTGTTCTTTGGCATTTTGGCTGCTTTTGTTACTCAAGTATTAACCCGTAAGCATTTGGCGTTGTTTCAATCAGACCTCCCAGACAGCACTGTACGCGACGCTGTGAAGTACTATGCACATACAGTATGATATTGTCTTAACCATGTTGGCAGCCAAAAGCCAATACGGCCTCCAGTGCTATTTACGCAAACGCTCTTCCCAAATAGACCCGAAACGATTGACAACTGCGAACAGGACGCCTTACCATGCACAAGGGTTGAGATACAATAAAAGTAAGTATATGTTCCAGGTTACACCAGAGGCTTTACATTATTTGGTTAACTAAGTACTAGTTCTTGAGCACCGGTGGTTTGAATCAGCAACTGCGCTGTTATCGATCCGCATCCATATGTTTTTTCTCTCTAATTTCAGCCCAACTTCAGATGAATTATATTTCAAAACTCCTGCTGCTCTGTTGCTTAGCAGGCACAGTTGTTGTGGCCCACGGAGAGCAAAACGAATCACGCAGACAGGCTTTGAATCTATTTCATAATAGCGAAGATCCGGTTGATAGGTGTTTGGCGGCATGCTCCTACTGCTTTTCAGCCCACGTGAGTGCCTACTGTTGGTTAAATTTCTCTAAACGTTATGGTATTCACTTTCATAAGTAAAAATGTTCAAGTAACCACTAAACAATTGTATGGTACAGCTCGTGTCTCGGCCCACACTGAGTGGTAGGGGGTTCGTCTAAGTGTTTGCGCTCGTAGCGCTTCTCTAGCTTCTATGAAAGATAACCTTCGGATTTGACGTGTCTGTGTCCCCAGGGCTCAATCGCTCGCGACCAAAGCTCCATAAGGTTTATCTACTTGTATTGTATTTTCAGTGACACACGTATCAGCGGGTTTTATTATTATGACAGGCTGAAACAACTAAGATGTCTTAACAATCTTTTGGTTTACATAAGAACGGAATAATGACTGCGCTGGGCGGATCCCACAAAAGGTAAATTTTACGATGGTTTGCATCCTTTGCATGAATTACTGAACATTCGTATGGGCTCACCATTAATCCTCGGTAAGTACTGTTTTATACAACAGCTATAAAGTAATTAAGCAACAATCGGACGCCAGTTACAATTGATACTCATCGCCAGACTATATCCATGGATTACAGACACAAGTACGTTAGGAGTATCAAAATGCATATATGTTTCACAATAGATGATGGTCGCTCCATTTATGCCTTTAACATCCAATCCATTGCTTAAATCCTTGGAATGAGTTAAATTGACTGAAACATTGCGATAACGGAACCCACGATAAGTTGTAAGTCAAACTAACCGACACGAAGTCCAACCGTTGTGAGAAGCCCAGTTGCACCAGGCATAAATTGTTTACCTTTGTTGTGCCAAAGGAACACTGATATCACAACAGGTGAAAGTCGAAGTGCTGAAAACCAGTGGAAATAAAGAACGAAATTACGAAGGGGTGTTGGGCGTTTAACTTCCGTAAGTCAACAGTAAACCAAACCACCTGAGGTTGGTAGTATACTTCGTCCTGCAAGGTCAACCTCGTCCGACCAGATGCGTTATAATCTCGTGATTATTCACGCACCGGAGTCCAGTGATCCATCACCCCAAGTGCGCTACGATCACGAAGTCGCATTTTTACAGAGTCTACTTGACAGAAGCTTAGAAACTGGTGTGGACTCGGTAAAAGTGAGGCAACTTACCCGTCTTGGAAAGCAAGGTGATCAAAGAAATCGGCACATGAGAAGCACTTTTGTGGACGAAGCCAGTCCAAGACTCAGCATGTCTCGCCTAAGTAGGCTAAAAGGTTTACAGATCCATGTTCATCCAAAGCTGGACCCAGTAGACAGGGAGCGGCTCAAGTCCGCCATCATTGAGCTGAAAAGACGCAATGGTGAGGGGGAAACAAATCTTCGTATCATAAATTGTCGGGTGGTTTCCAACCATCTGCGAATTAGGATAAACAGCCTGTTCACACTTCAAGCACGTCCGGTGGCCTCCGCTGCAACCTGCGAGTAGCCTTCACAAAAGTTTGCAGAATTATGAATAAGCGCGATGAGCTTTGTTGTTTCGTTGCGTCTGAGCGGCCAGACGTAGTGGGACTCGCAGGGACATGGCTGCATGCAGAGTTATACACCAAAGAACTTGAACTCAACGGTTACTCGTGCTTCCGATGCGATAGACTAAAGAATGCCCACGTTGGTGTGTTAATTTACATTCGGTCTTCCGTGCGTGGGAAACTTGTTAACACCTACCGAAATGACGATAGTTTGTGTGAGCTACTGTGGTGCTCTATCCGCCTCAGGCGCGGAGAACTACTTGTGGGCGCAATTTATCGCAACCCCCTGAGTCGTTGTTTGGATTGGCTGCCCATTCTTTGAACCCACATGAGTCGTCCACACTTTCTACTTATGGGCGATTTTAACTATCCTCGAATACGATGGCCTGATGTGCATTTGATGCATGGACATAGTGAGGTTGAAGCAAAGATTGTGGATTTGGTACTTGAAACCGATGTATTGCAACACATATGCCAACCAACACGCGTTACACCACGCTCAACCCCGTCCTGTCTCGACCTGGTTTTAAGGAGCTACGAACAACGAGTGCGTGACCTTAGGATCCTGGAGCCGCTGGCTACGAGCGACCACTCAGTACTGATAGCTGATATGTAATTAGCTTTGCCGTATTCACATTCGCTGGAACCAGCTCACAACTACTAGAAAACGGACTTCGATGGTCTAGCTCGAGCCGCGAGCCAACTGCTTTGGTCTCTGTCACAAGCTGCATCTGTAGAAGACTGTCAGATATTTATAAAAGAGAGATTAACATCATTGTTTTCCCAATTTGTGCCATTGAAATGTCGTAAGTTTGGACCGATTAAGCCTCATTGGTTTGACATGGAGTATAGAAACCTTGCTCGGAGGCGACGCGGACTGTGGGACAAATTCCTCCTCTCTGGCTCGGCCAATCATTATGAAGGGTATAAATGTCCGGGTATAAAAGTCAGAGGAACCTCTGCAACAGTGCAAAAAAGAATAAGCGCCGACATTTCGAAGAGCAGCTCGCAATAGGCGCGAAAGCCGCCCCAAAGGGAATCTTTGCATACGTGAAGCGACGCCTGAAGCCGGTAGGTGAGTTGTCACTGCTGCATAGCCCGAATGGACAGCCCCTAACCTCCAGCAATGAGCGTGCGTCCGCTTTCGCGGCCCACATCGCTTTTGTATTTGCTAATGACCAGGTGTCACTTCCGAGTTCCAGATGTACCGCTTTTACCGAACTCGCTAGTCTGCATTGCGGTGTTAAAGAGGTATATCAACTATTCGTCAACTTTGACGGCACCAAACCTGCCGGACCTGATGCGCTTCACCCACTGGTTCTCAAGTCACTTGCGACCATCATCTCTCCTGTCGTGACTGAACCTTACAACAGGTCGCTGTCCGAAGTTTCGTTGAAGGTTGACTGGAAATGTTCGGTAGTGAAGCCTATTCCGAAAGGATGCGACCCTAACAAAGTAGACAATTACAGGCCAATTTGTCTGACACCTATTTTGACAAAGGTTGCTGAGAAAATCGTGAAGAAGTGATTGCCGCATTTGGTACAGTCAAACGTGGCCTTGATGCCCGCACAGCACGGTTTTATGCAAGCCAGCTCATACATTACGAACCGGCTTGTGACGAGGCATGAGTTTTCGAAGGAAAAAAGCAAGGGGAATTCTCTCGCCGTGATATTCATCGATTTCAGTAACGCATTCGACAAGGTCAGCCATGAGGTTCTCCTTCACAAACTCAGGATGTGTGGTGTCGGTGGCTCACTGCACCGGTGGATCCGCGACTTTCTTTTGCACCAAACTGGAGGGTACAGATCAACGACAATCTAACTGATTGATATCCCTCTAAAAGTGGCGCGCCTCAAGGCACTCTGCTGGGGCCCACTCTGTTCCTGATCCACATCAACGATCTCCCGCAGCTTCTCCGGTCGCCGTGCGCCTTGTTTGCGGACGACATGAAGATTTGGAGAGAGATCGACGCTCCCGATGACTGTGGCGTACTTCAGCAAGACCTCAGCCGCCTATTCACATGGTCTGCAGAAGTTCTTCTCCCGGTCAACCCAGCCAAGTCTGTATGTATGTGCCTGGGGAAGGATGCTGACAGCCGAACCTACATCCTTGACAGCCAACCGCTATATCCCACACCCACCGTGAAAGATCTAGGTGTACTCTGGCGCTACGATTGGAGGTCCGTGGACAACACGAACAGGCTATATCGTAACGGACTGCGCATGGATTGGGCGATCAAACGTAGCTTCGGCACATGGTCTGAGGATGCTGCCACTCGCCACTTCTCTTCCATTATTAGACCAATGCTGGAGCACAGTTCGCCCGCCTACTTTCCGATCACCCAATTCGAGGCACAAAACATCGAACGGGTCCAACACGTTGTTACCAGGCTCATCCCGAGTTTCCGTGGCTTGGGGTATGAAGACCGGTGCGAGCAACTAGGACTCTACACCTTGTCCTACCGTCGGGTTCCAGTGGACCTCATTATGACCTACCGTATTCTACATCTCGGTGACTTGCCCATGCTGAGGCCAATGATGCATTTACGAGGACCATGCAGCACACGCGGACACAGATACAAACTTGTCGTGCCGCATGTGAAATGTGTTCCCCACCCACTGTGATTCGAACGGAGAGTGATTAACATTTGGAACAGTTTGCCTGAACACGTGATGGTAACTCTGTGCAGCAGTTAAAAACATTGTTCGATTTATATTTTACCACTATTCGATTCAGAGAACGATTGCACACTTATGATGATAAATCACATTTGTGAGTTCTGCAATATCGTGAGTCAGATATTTTAAATGTTACATGAGAACGACAACGATATTTTTGGCTAACAGCTTTTACAACTTTTTTTAACCACAATTTGATAGAGCTGTACAGAATTCACTTCTACTTGCTCTATAATATAGTATTCATTATGCATATTTCAAGCAAATGGAACAAACTTTCGACCGCCTAGCAAAATTGGTGGCTTATCCTCAATACTACCGATTCGCTTGATTAGACTATGGCATGTGCTTGCTTCTTAGGAGCCAATACTAACTGCCTGGTCGTTTTAACGTCTTCAACTTGACAGAACTGAGTCGTTCCCCTTATTTGACGTAGTTGACTGTCGGTTGACGGAAATTATTATACCTAAGTTTCTGGTAACCCAGTTGAAGCTGCTTGATACACTAAAGCTGATGCAAACTTCCTGACGAGGTGGGTCTCCGCAATGGATTTCAGTCTGTAGTCTACGAAAGAAAACTTCCTAAATTTGGATTTTTATCAGATACGATAATAGTCATGTGCTTCTCTATTTCGATTGCATATCCGAATTATCGAATTATCAAGACACATTTCTTTGTACTGCAGGATGCGAAACTTCTTTCTTGTGCAAACGATGTGTGCATCAGTGGTGTCGGGACGAATTTTCCAAGGAGCATCGAAGAGGCTTGCACTCTACTGATTGCTTAATCGTCTAACCGGTAGAAAGTTATATTTTTGTTTATGATGACAAGTGACATAAATTCTATCTCAAATGATCTGGTTACTCTTATAACTTGAACAATGTTATCGGAAGGCGAGTTCGGCTTATGTCGCCATATCAACTTGTATTGTCGGGGCTGATTAAACACAACCAACTGGATGGTCTGCTATGGTGTAACATATGAAGATCGGGTAGATAAGTAAATTACGGCTGACAAAGCAAATCTTTTAATAGTGTCATTTATTGCTGGCATATGTATTCTCGTCTAGAAGACGCATTAGCCGAAAGAGACAAGAAATCGAGCTGGTCATCCGTCAACCATCTGATTGTGACATTTTGAAGCATAGATTGCGCAGAAAAGATGGTTTCTTGGCCCAGGTAACTATAGGTTGCAGGGCTGGGTAGAATGATTTTTTTGAGGCTTCCGACAGTCTTTGGGATCAAGTCGTCCTACACTGCCCATGCTTCCAGATTTCCTTCTTCACATGGGGAAAGGTCGCTTATTCGATGTAAACGCGGTAAACTTGATGTTATTCTACAGCCCATAGAGCAAGCGACAGACGCGAGTGAGCAATTAGAATCTACGAAGAGTATCAATTTCTCTCGCCTAACCGTGGCCTTGCTCGAGTGACCACCGGCAATTCCATAACGGTATCTAAGTAATAATAACACTAATAATAGTAATCATAACAATGGGTTTATTTATTTTAAATGAGAAGCTGCGTCCTTATTTGGCGCTGATCCAATACGTACAGGTAGTACCATGCTCTTGCATGGGCAATATGAATGTATGGCCTGCTTATCGCTCAAATCTTGCTCTGTCACTCTTTGTCGAATTGTGGTGAAAACTTTTGTCTCCCAGTCAAGATGTTATACTCATTCGATTAAGCTGGACGAGTGCTATTCTGAGCTACCAATCGATTGGATCTAAGCTCAACCGTTCGCTATTCCTGGTCCTTTTGCTATCTTGACGCTTTCCCTGAGTATGCATATCTGCCATACTTGATCCTCTCGGAGTCCTACAAGGCTGCTTTTCGTCTCATCTGCTAGACCAAGTTGAGGGCTCTTCAGCAAGCCTACGTTCGTGTAAATCCGTTGCCCAACAAGGCAGATATTGGAGAAAAGCACCAGTTCTCCTACGTTTATCACTGCACTGCCTGCAAAAAGCCTTGGGCTTCCATCGACACCCGCCTGCAATCCGCTCGATAACAAATCGCGCCTACGCGTGAAATCTCTCTAGCCACCGGTGACCCACCGTGCTGTCCACCTCGGACTGATGGCTGGACCTAACACGTGACCTGCGAAACGATCACCTGTCTAACACCGTCTGACAAACGCCGGAGCGTGAGCTGGTAAGTCTTTACTCTTCTTTACTTGAGTCCTAGAGGCACCTAGATAATCTCATACTACTATACTCAGTAGCCGTTCTAGAATCTTTAGACCCCAACACGCCGTGCAAATGCCTGCTAACACAATCAAAATGGATGCCTCCTTGACCAGAAAAAAGAAAAATTCGGGAAACCGCCGCCAAACACGTTGCTAATACGTCCAAGATCCTGCCTGATATGCTCAAATGCATTAACCTCCTCGAGAGAAAGATCAATGCACTAAACTACAAACTCAGTGAATTTAGCACTAACTATGACAACATTTTATCATTGAGTGAATCAAAAACTCAGGTAAGGTTAATTTGGTTGAACTGTACGGCGGCTGCATTCGTCTCACTTATCACCTCTGCAACTCAGGAGCGCGTGCGTTGTGGCGCAGAACGATCGTGCATTAATAGAGGATTGGCAACGATTGTTTACATTAAACTTAGGTCCACGCAAGTTATGAGACAAGCGTGGCCAAACTCAATTGAACGGTAATTGAGGCTTCAGTACAAGGTTTTCAGCCATCTGCTCGTCTAGTTGCGCAATATGTCTGTGCGCACCAGCATTGGACTGCTATGTGTGTGAAGGTTGGTGCTTATTTACGAACAGGTCCAGACAACAAAGTCTGGGACGTAAGGGCAGCGCGAAGTCAGCACAGTTTTGGTGTAAACACAAACGCAGATACGGCAGTTACTATGTCTGGAACACCTGGTCAATCCTGAATTGTTTAGAGCGTCATGATCAAGTGCGTTGCGAATGGAATAATAACGGTTTTACTAAGACGGCTTGAGCAGGCCAACAAGATGTTCGTTTAAGTCGAAGATACAGTTGAGGCATGGAGAATCAGAGTGAACAATTTTGACTTGATAATCCAAAATGTCCCCTGCAAGCAGCAGATGGGTTATCTTATGTTGATACTAACTCAGGCTATTTCGACCAGAATTTCTATCACTTGGAGGCACAGTAAAAGCTACATTTTGATCTCAGAACCAATTTGTCAATAAGATTAGGAAGAGAGCGATGTCCGTCGCAGCGTAATGTCTACAAAGCATTCAACCTAACTTATTGCTTCAGTTGATGGATATCTTAATGGTGATCATTATTTCATAGCTGTAAGTGAGGTGGAATATAGTAATATTCCAACCATTTGGTCCCCTACTAATAACACAGCAGAAAGTTGATCGATGTCGAGAGAGTAGTTCCTCGGCGAAATAAAACAATAACTAGCTTACGGCTGGATAGGGTGTTTGGCGGCAGCCGTGTAAGTTTCTTACTAATGGGATGTTGACCGTCAGCTATTCCAATATTCATTTCATGCTGTAAGTACACACACACACACACACACACACACACACACACACACACACCGAAACAGGTAGCATATCGGCCCAAATTCGTAGAGAAATTAAGTAGATTACATTCGATTTGACTAGTAGGAATAAAAGAGTGGCAGATAGGGGTACACTGCTCACTAGCAATATGAGTTGCCTGGGTAGACGACCGGGAACTGGATGCATGTTGAATTTTGTTGATGAGAAGACGTAGAAATGGAGGCTGGTTTGATAATTTAGCATTAAGACAACTTCTGCTAGACGGCTCACGCTGTTTTGTCGCGTGACGCTCAACTTCCGATATGAAGTCACATTAGTTATGCCGTAGCGCAGTTTGTCTATGATCTGTTTATCGCACAGAATCAGTGTACATTGGCGTGTGCATTTAGGTGGTGAAGCTAGAGTCTGGATACGGAAAATCAGTGAATCCTAGAGCTTACCGTGTCTTTCCAACACATATAGTGTGTCTTCCTTAGGACACTTATTGGATATATAAAGGCAAACCGTTACGGAATTAGGTGATGGTTTTGTGCACTTCATGTGAACAATACAATTATTGTACTTGACAAGGCTTAGCTGTGTAACATTAAAAAGCCCCTTCACTGGAGGCTGTTCGATGTGTGTTTCGCGATGCAGCTCCGATATATGATTCTTCTTTTTTTCTTTTCTTTTTCTTCTTCTTCTTCTTCTTCATAAATCGGGTGTTTTGTGCCTAACAAGAGCTGTGCAAGTGCTGGTTTGCAGCATAATGCGCTCTTGGGCTGTGCGATCATGTTATGCGTTTTGGCAGCCTGCTGTAGAAAGAACTTTGACCACCTCAGTCTCTCCCATGTTGAATGCTCAGTTCTACATTGCTCCGCCGTCTGGATCGATTATGTTTGCTAACTCCCTTACTTTCCATTCCTTTGTTCTCTGCCCCGATGCTCTTAGCGAGTGACTCTGGTGACTCATCTTAACTTCACCCCGCCCCCATGAAGCTGTCATTGTTCTCTTGACATAAGCGATTTTGTTTTCCCACAACTCATGTATCCAGTGTGGCAGGTCTGTCTGCCCTCAGCCCGTTCCCGTTGGCGGACGCTTACGATTGGCTCAATTGCCTTATCATAACTTCGGTCTCACCTCTCTGTCCATTTGTTTCGTGTGCACCTTGGCTTACGGACCTTTTGTGGAACTGATTGAAATCTGTTGGTAAACTTTTGTGTTTGGAACACCGTTAAGGTAATTTCTACTTTGGTACGATGAATTTGTACAAATAGCACCGTTTTCTCAGGTCCGGATCTGGTATTTTGTTGAATTTTCCGGTGGGGAACGCGTAGCTTAACTTTCCAAACGCCTTGGAGCGTTACACCTGCGTCAATGGGAGTCATTGACCTCTCATCTTTTCATGCCTGCTTTGGTGTCTACCCCGGACAGACGTCTTCTCCGATCAACACACTTTATAACGACAGGAGATTTTCGTTACACATACTGGAAAATGCTTTTCGTTGAGTTCTTCATGCCCGTTGATGGGCAGCCCTTGATCTAGTTGCCATGTAGGCCGCTTGTTTAAGAGAGCTCAGTGAGCGGTTACTTCAACCAGAGCCTCAGTGTCTTTCGCGCGAATTTCTGGGAGAACTTACCAGAGGCGCCTGAGTAGTCTTAATAACAATTCCTTTATCACACTAATAGTTTACTGACACCCCAGTTAATGTTCCACTTTTAACAACGTGTTTCACTCATCGTTATCCCGCTCGTTAATTTGAACTTGTTTATGCAGCATATGAATAATGAATACTGAATACTGTATTACAGAGCAAGTAGAAATGAATTCTGTACAACTCTCTCGAAATATGGTGAAAAACGTTATGGAAGTTGTCAACCTTGAATATCATTGTCATTCTCATGTAATATTTAAAATATTCGACTTACGATATTTCAGGATCCACAAATGTGATATGTCATCGTAAGTGTGCAATCGTTCTCTGAATCGAATAGTGGTAAAATATAAATCGAACAATGTTTTTAACTGCTGCACAGAGTTACCATCACGTGTTCAGGCAAACTGTTCCAAATGTTAATCACTCTCCGTTCGAATCACAGTGGGTGGGGAACACATTTCACATGCGGCACGACAAGTTTGTATCTGTGTCCGCGTGTGCTGCATGGTCCTCGTAAATGCATCATTGGCCTCAGCATGGGCAAGTCACCGAGATGTAGAATACGGTAGGTCATAATGAGGTCCACTGGAACCCGACGGTAGGACAAGGTGTAGAGTCCTAGTTGCTCGCACCGGTCTTCATACCCCAAGCCACGGAAACTCGGGATGAGCCTGGTAACAACGTGTTGGACCCGTTCGA